ACTTCTGTCAACTTCAACATAACCTCCAAATTTTGGTTGTAAATTTTTGCTTATTTTGTATGTAAACACACTCAGCACACACATGTAAATAACCAAAAATACTTTCAAATTCATTAGAATCCACTTAAACAAGTAATTAAATACTTTTCAACATGAACTAGCAGAGTGCACTTTTATTTTGTTTACAATTTGGTTGCCAAACACACTACAGCTGATCGTTTGACACATTTACCAGAATTTACCAGCAAAAAATTCTCGGACTAAAACTGGTAACTTCTGACAGAGAGAGAACCGTATTTACTCTCTTTTCTGTCCTCTCAATAGTCAGAGAACCGAGTACGGGATCGATTTCCAGTAAAATCCCACTGATTCTGACTATTTCTGACTAGTCCGAACTCGTACGGGATCGCAACTTACATTTGGCCAAACAAGCTTTTAAAGTAAATTAAAGCAAAATGAAGTCAGTAAGGCCAGCAAAGCAAGCCTACATTGGGCCCAGCACCTTAACGGTTGTTTCTGAAAAAAGCAACAAATGTGTCATCAATTGTTAATTTTATTTTTACAGCGTCAGCACGCTGAAAATTGAATTGGATTTAACGTAATTAAAATATTGTGAAAGGTCGAGTGAATTAAAATTCTATGCAATCGATATTGTACATAAACGTATTGGCCCGTAGTCATAGTCAAAATAAAGTCGACTTTAAAGTTAGTTGCAGCTTTTTTGACAGATATCCCATTGAAAATTATGTCAAAAAGCTGCAACTAACTTTAAAGTCGACTTTATTTTGACTATGACTACGGGCCATTGACTTTATTTCTGCAATTAAACTTTTAGATAATTCGTGTTGTGTTTTATGCAAATCGTTGTTTTAGAAAAGTAGGATTTTGTGTTTCTTGGTTCGTCTTTCAAGTATTTAGCTAATGTTTTAAGTGTGTTTCCCCTATCGGCCCTCAATATTTTTATTTACATATTGTTTGTTAATATTTTAAGATTATAAAAGCGTTCAGTGTAGATGCATCGACCTGCAGAGGCTCGCGTAGTATTATATAATGTAATCCAAGCTCTTACAAGTACAAGTTACCACAGCGAAATTTCTCGATTGCATGTTATTGAGATTTGGCGTTAAAATTCCGGTACGCATTCCCAGAAAGTTCAAAATGTGCTGGGTGCAATAGCGAAAGATATTGAATATGAGGATTTTGTGCCAGATCGGTATGAGTTGTAAAAATGTATTAAGTACAATGTATTAATTAAAATGTAAAAAATTTGCATTATATTGACAAAGATCCAAACGCCAAAAATCAGCAGTTTTTAAAAAATCATTCCAATTGGCTCGAAAAGAAAGAAATCATTTCATTAAAATGTCAACCAACAGTTTCCACCAATTCAAATCGTGGGCGTCCCAAACAGATTTTCTTGAGCGTCGGCGAACATATCGGGATAAAATTTTTACGCTAAGGTCTGTTAAGAGTAAAAACTGTAATATGTAAAAGAGGGCGGGGTTGGACATGCCCACATAAAGTCATGTGAAAATTTTTTTTTTTTTTTAATTAACGCGATTTCTTAGCCACTTGAAACGTGCACTTTCTTGAGCTAAAATTCAGTGCGCTATGAAACTGCATAATTATCTTTTTTCTAAAAGTTCTTATTAAAAAGTTTGGTGTTGTTTTAAAATTTTGTTGAATTTTCCTATTTTTTTACAAAGTTCGAAATTTGGACATGTATGGTTTTTGTAAGATAGTGAGTTGTATTTAAAAAAAAAAAATAACAAAAAAAAAAATAGCCGAAACTGGTCACAATGTCGTGTCCCTATTATTTTCCACATGACTGTATGTGGGCGTGTCCAACCCGGCCCACTTTTACATATTACAGTTTTTACACTTAACAGACCTTAGCGTAAAAATTTTATCCCGATATGTCCATTAAAAGTATTTTTGGCCGCTCTCTCCATATAAATGCAACCACTGTGGGGCTCTTCGGCAAGCAGTTGCCTATTTGGGTGACCACGTCCATGGCTCCCAACTAGAAACTGCGCGCAGAGCATTGTGTTGTGCTCCTTTATTGGAAGCATTTTCGCCTCGTCGTGCAGGTGGTGTTCTGGCGACATCAGAAGGCAACCAGTCGCTGTCCGTAGTGCGGTGTTTTGGGTAGTCTGCTACTTCATCCACTATAGGAAAAATATTTTTCACTCACCCAAAAACGTAGTCTCTAACATTAGATAAACATTTTCATTTTGCATCCGAATTCTAACGTAGTTCTCGAAACATTAGGTTAGAAAACTACGTTAGAACTCGATTAGAGTATAATGACATTGGAATACGATTAGATAGCTAATATTTTTATTGATATCGAGAAGTCCTCTTTTTATAGAGAATGTTATAATTCTTGCCTATAATTCTTCTAACTTTGAGAAACACCATAGAATTTGAATTGTTTTCTAATCGTTCTGTTTATTGGGATAATGCTTATCAACTTAATGCACACTGCAATAGAGATACGAAAAACGTTAACCAGCGTTAGAAATTTCTAAAAACTACAAACTACATAACTCATGCTTATTCTTATGTGCTGAAGAATATTAATTTTAAGTCAGACATCAACTCAGTATTCTCAATGAGTTCCTGTCCCGTATGAATCCTAATTAGCAACTTTTCACGCATGCTAAATGCAATCTAATTTCTGAAAATGTAACATTCAAATACTATTTACTATAATAGTCTTTTATGCTAGGTTGAAGGAGTTGCTTCTTTAAGTTCGCATACGGTTGCATTAAGTCCTCTAAACCTTGGGCAAAATCTGTAAAGTTCGCATGTGTTTCCAGCTGTTTTATAGTATCTGTTAACTCATGCGTTAAGCTTAAAGCTTTGTTTATTATTCCTATCTGTATGCGTGCCTTGCTATGATTTTGCTTCTGTATATCATATATTTGCAAAGATGTTTTCCTTTCGGCGCCTTGGCTAATTTCATCTAAATTGAAGTCTTCCGTTTCATGAAACTCAATAACTGCTTCTTCGTCAGTTTGCTCGATCTCACTCATTGCCCCATCTTCTGTTTCGTCAAATTGTATCGTTATTTCATTTTCATCATCGCTATACATTTCCGCAGCATCATCATTTGCCTCATTACAATGCGAATCTGGCGCTGAACACAAGCTGATAAGTTCATCACTTTCATTATCTACATCTTCCGATGACACAATATTTAACACCTGTGGACTTGATTTTTCTATGATCACTTGGTTTGATACTGCTTCCTGTTCTTGTTCCCCATCGCATGGAATAATGTCGTCGAGTTTTAAATATTGCCTAATATCATCAGTGGTCATATTAAAAAATCCCTCTCCTGGTAACTGGTTGCCAATAAAAGCACAGTGTGTAATTTCTTCACTTATTATAGAGTTGCGGTTAGATTCCCTGATAACCTAAAAGTTAAAAACGTTAATTTTTGGATTGAATATCTGCCAAAGTAGCTGATATTTGTGCAAGGCAAACAATGTACCATGTGTTAATGAATTTATATCGTAAAACAGCATTACAGACCCTCTCAACGGTCAATGGAAATTTATTTACATTTGCAAGCAATACTAAAATTTCGTATACAATTGCTTTGTTCACCTTATAATAAATAGTGTTTCATTTGTTTTCAGTCAGGGTAAAATTATTATTATAAAAAAATTACCTTGGGCCAAAGCCGACTCCAACCACCTTTCCAGAAGTCAACACTGATATCTCCTATAGACTCATGAATAATTTCAATTGCGTCTGCTATACTATACTTGTGCCAGACTTTGTACAAATTTTCTATGCTCTTCTCTCCTAAATTATGTAGTAAATGTTCGTAAAATCTGCGCAAGTATTTACACTGAAATAGTGGTACTACACTTTGTGTAAGCGGCTGCAACAATGGTGAGGTATTTTCAGGCAGGAATTCGACGCGCAAAAATGAGTCATCGTATGTTGGAAACACCAATTGCTGCATTTCATAACCAAGTAGAAGTAAACAACGTTGCGGCATCTCCATTTCTTTCAAATAATTGCGAGCTGTTGGTGTGAAACATAGAGTCAGCCAATCGTGGAGATGAGAAGCGGTGACTTTGGGAACACTCTGGGTCGTGCGTGAACGTGAGCGCCAAAAAACAGGTAAATCGTTAAATTTTGCTGTGCGTAAGCAATAAGGATTTCTTGCTCGATTAATCAACATTGGCTTGACATGAAAATTGCCCTTCGCATTGCCACACAAGAGCAAACTTATGCGATAATTGCGGATTTTTTCGCGTGATTTATCCATTTTAGCAACAAAAGTGCTGCTGGGCATACGTTTCCAGGCGAAGGAGAGCTCAAAAGCGGTGAATACTTGATGTGGCTGATAACCACCAGTTTCGACAAGCTTAGCAAATGTAGATGGGTACATATCGGCTGCTGCCGGGTCAAGCGGTTCTGTTTTGTAAACAGAGCGAAATTCCAGATTAAATCGCTTACGAAATTTCATAAACCAACTTTTGCTAGCTTTAAATTCTCGGTCATCAAATTGGAGTTCATAAGCTTCACCAGCGCTAATGGTGTTAAGTGATATTTTTGATCTTTCGTCTTTATCCTTCAGTTGTGCATACAGAGCTCTTGCCTTGGCACATATGTTGGTTATACTTTGCATATCTTTTTTTTGTCTTTGTTCTTCATACCAAGAATATAATTGTTGCTCCATTTTTTCCTGCACTTCGTCTCGTGGAATATATGCCGCTGAACTGCAGCCATTTTTTGTACACTGACCTCCGTACTTGCGTAGCTGTGTCTCAGAATTCACTAAAGAACGTATAGTACTATCGCTGATTTCAAATTCTCTACTTAAATCCATTGGTCGTTCACCCGCTTTCAGCCGATCTAGTAATTTTATTTTTTCTTCTATAGTTAAACAACGTCGCCGACGTTTGGAGTCACAGTCCCCATTTGCCTGCTGTGATTCGTCTGGTCGTTTTCGACTGAACATAATTAGAAGCCTGAAAGGACATAAAATAGAAAAAGGAGCAATGCATGATGTACTGAAACGCTTACCAACTCGCTGTTTGCAGTATTATTAAATATTTCTAAATTTTTTAACAGGCACTAACTTTTATTGAAGCAGATTTCGCTTCCGAGTGAAAAATATTTGAACGTTATATGCATGTTACATTTCTATATATAAAATAACTTTAACTGCAAATAAATATACAAACTTACTTTACAATTCACTTTGTTGAATTTTTTGAAGCGCTTTTTTTACAAAAACTAAAGATTTTTTTTTTGGTTCTGAGTGTTGGCTAAAAAACTAAAGATTTACGGAAATGTTTACGCCAAGGCACACAAATTGGTACAAAACAGCTGATAATTTTTTAGCAATTAGAAGGATATATCGATTTCCTATCGATTTTAGAAATCTTTACGTGTTCACAACATGATTCAATGCTAAAGGTACGACCGCACTAAGCGACGCGACACTGCAGCGTTCCCACGACAGTCNTTTTTTTACAAAAACTAAAGATTTTTTTTTTGGTTCTGAGTGTTGGCTACAAAACTAAAGATTTACGGAAATGTTTACGCCAAGGCACACAAATTGGTACAAAACAGCTGATAATTTTCTAGCAATTAGAAGGATATATCGATTTCCTATCGATTTTAGAAATCTTTACGTGTTCACAACATGATTCAATGCTACAGGTACGACCGCACTAAGCGACGCGACACTGCAGCGTTCCCACGACAGTCGGGTCTACGTAACCGGAACGACCCAGATAGATATATATCTGGCCAAGGACTGCCACCACTCCAGCAACACTCCCCAAAATCTCTTTGGGGAATTTGTATGCTGTTACAACAACAACAACGCGACACTGCAGAGGAACTACGCGACACGGCACGACACTTCTTGGTATATCGCACTGAAACTGCAGCGAAGCGACACTTCGCAGCAAATTTTTTAATTTATTTGTGTCAAAACCTTCAAACAAGAAGGATGCCAGTGAAGCTGCTGAAATGTTAATGCCTTTTATTTTTCTTGACGAATTCTTCTCAAATATAATGTTTCTTTATAGGCTGTTTTTGCTTACGCGTAAAAGCACATTTAGCGCATTTAGCTCTAAATGCTACATAAATGTACATTTATCCATACAAAATTCGTCACCTAAATGCAACTAAATGCAACTACATTTTTGCATTAAGAATCTAAATGCTAAAAGCAACCCTGTGATCTTCCAAAATTTCCACGATTCGAACATGGTTTAAAGAGAAAAAGTGGCAACATTGCTTTTTCGAGTATACAGTTGCTAGCTGCGTTTCAGTGATCGCCGATCGAGATTTCTTTTATTTTGCATTACATATTTGGATAAAGAAAAGTTAAGCAAATTCAACATCGATTTGATACTGATAGAAATCTGGATCAATTTGTGATCAACTCTGTTTGGTTTGTTTCCTAATTAAGTGAGGAAATTTTAATTGAATGCACCGACAAATAAATATATACACAAACAAATGTTCGTTTATGGTTAAAACAATTCAAGTTTTTGTATTGAATTTTTGGTTTAAAATTTATTTTTTCCTTTTCAGTAGGGTTTTTGCACATTATCTTCTGCGTGAGAATTGATCGTAATATATGCGCATCTAAATAAGAGACTGGAACACGGCTGTTTGTCAAAAGCATACGATTTCGAACTCGCGTAAATGTACATTTGCTAAATGCTATAGCATGAACGCTCTTCGAAAACATATGTTCGAAAGTGCTAAATGTTGCATTTTAAATGCAGCAAAAACGCTGCATTACATACAATTTTCTTCTTGAATGAAATGCATGTGAATATTCACTCACAATTGGAAATCCAATTACTTCAAGTTAAAAATATAGCACGAAATGTTATGTCGTACCGCTGGGTATACGGAACTGCGCGACCCCACGCAGAGCGAAAGTTTTGCCTATTTGGTCAGCTTTTTCGCGCAGCGTCGCGTCGCGTAGCTCCGCTACAGCGTAGTGCGGTATGCTCCATAAGAATACATGCAAAGACTATTTTGCCGCGCTGTGTCGCGTCGCTAGTGCGGTCGTACCTTAAATGTTGGCTGGCGACCAACTTTGTTGAAAGCGATTAGTTGAAACGCCGTTCAACGAAAAGTAGAATGCAAAGTTGAACAATGCGCCTTTCTTGGAAAATATATTGTGATATTTTTTTATATTTTGATACTTTTAACCTTCAATTTTTTGTTTCGTGCAACCCTGCATGGGTTAAACGCAAAAGTTGCATAAAAAAGCCCTATAAGGGTAAGAACATAGTGGATCGGCAAGCAAAGCCAAGAGCTAGCATCGAGCACAGCTTCAATTACAAATGTGTATGTACGCTTTGCTCTTCACTATGCGCTTTCCATTGAAACATATGCGTTTGATATTGACGCTTTGCTCTTTGCTCGCCGCTCCACTATGTTCTTACCCGAAGGTCGGTTTTATGCAGCAAACTCAGAGCGAGCGAGTTTGGCGCCTCTCACAGCAAACTAATTTTGTTTGGTCAAACTGTAGCAAATTCGGTGTTGTCATATACACAAATTTTAGACAATTTGGGCACAGTTAATTGAGTATACGATATCATAAATGTATTAATTGTACACGTTATGTACATCTGAAATTCTCATTTCGTGTTGGCAATAGCCATGAAAACCATAATAAATGTGCAACACCGTGCCAAACTCGACATAACCATCTCCGAGCAAACTAAGCAGCAGCAGATAGAAATCCTTCTCTGCGTCACAGTGATGCATTTGACTGACATCCAAGTTAACTCTGATTTTGAATAGAAGACGCCACATTGGCAACGCATGCATTGCCGCAACTTTCAACTCTAAACGCAACTTTCAACTCTAAACTTTTGACGCACGCATATGCAAATCAACAACAACAACAAAAAACTATGGAACGAATCAGCTGATTTTTGGCCAATCATATTGAACCGTTTTTTGCGGAAACGTTTTCATTGTTACGTCTCGGCATGTTCTGTGCGTTTTGTCAGTCAAAATCATCCCTGTGACGCAGAAAAGAATTTCCCTCTTGCGAGACCTTAATAGCTCAGTTATGCACACTTGGTGTTCCATAAGAGTTGTAACATAAGGATTCTATTACTATGTTTATACGTAAGCTATTTGCAAATAAAAATAATTTGCAAATACCTAACTCACTGTTTATTCGATGGTAAAATTTTTTTTTAATATTGCCCGATTATAAAAAGGCAATAATATGAACATCGAAAAGGAAAATAAACCTAAGAATGGCGGCGTCTTGCGCTTATTTGCAAATAATACCACTAATCAATACTTATTTAC